AAAAAAAAAAAAAAAATTCTGTATAGAGCACAAAATTAGACATATTCCTTTCCACTTCTACAGTTATGTCTGAAAACTTTTTAAGATTCTAACTTTTATCATGTAAAGGTACAAGATCCCAATGATGAATGTAACTGTATTGTATACCTAAAATGTACCAATAAACTTAATGGAAAAAAAAAAAGACTCTAACCTTTATTTTCAGCTTTTGAGAAGGTAGGTGATGTTTCACTGGGTTTAATATTTTCTTTATTCCCTGCAGGAGAATTCTGCCTCTGATCCTGAAGCCTAGAATCTTTAGCTAGAAAAAAAAAAATCAGAATGAGATAGTTAGAAAAGTAAAGTGAAGTTATTTTTTCTTATCTTTTTTTTAAAAAATAGGCTTTTCTCCTTTGCAGGCAACCTATGAAATACTAGTCATTATATTTTTATAGGTATTTAGTGGGCAGGGAAATTTAACTTTCATAATACCAGATATTAAAGAATAATATATATGAAATCAATGGTATTATGTAAGCAACTAAATTTACACCAAAATGTACATGTGTATTCAAAAAACATATCTAAGAATAAAACAACAAGTTTGGGCTATCATGTAAACCTCTGGAATTCCTCTCTCACATACCCTCAACAGACGGGGTCACAGCTCTGTTGGATGCAGGACTTGCAGGTGTAGGAGATGCAGCTGGAACAGGCATGGCAACAGCTTCAGCCGGAATAATACCAGCTTGGGGAGAAGCAAGAACTGACCCACCGGCAGTACTTCCAATACTGTTTGGTCTGGGAGACCGGGGTCTATGAGTTTTGGGAGATAATCTTGGAACTAGAAGTAAGAGAAACATTACTGATTACATTCTTGGCTCAAATGTCACTTCCTCAAAGAGGCTTCTCTAAAGACCTAAGTAAACCAGTCCCCCTCAGCTCCCCTCCTTTATCCCACCACCCTATTTTCTTTTTCAAATCTTAGAAATAGTGGTAGTAACTGAGAACATAAGCATCTGAAAAAGACAGCAATTACTAAATACCTACAATTTTAGTTTTCCCTAAGTAATCATATTAACTTTATTTATTGGGTGGGGGCTTTTTGAGACAGGGTCTCACTATGTAGTAGTTTAAGTTGGCCTTGAACTCAATCTTTCTGCCTCAGTTTCTTTTTTTTTAAAATTTATTTACCAGTTTTTTGGGGTTTTTTTGGTACCGGGGATCGAACTTGGGTCCTTGCGCTTTCGCAGCAGGCGGCGAAACCACTGAGCTAAATCCTCGGCCCTCTGCCTCAGTTTCTTGAGTGCTGAGATTATAGGTATGTGCCACCTCACTTGGCTTCACATTGAATTTAAATGAAGTTGAACATTAGATTTCTGTGACAAAATAAATGCTACTTTTTTGGGGGGGAGGTACCAGGGATTGAACTTGGGACCTTGTGCTTTCGAAGCAGGCGGCAGCACCATCGAGCTAAATCCCTGGCCCTAATGCCACTTTTATAAAAAGATAAAGACAGCAACATTTTGTACTAAAAAGTTGGATTATTTCTTTTAAGACGGTAGAAGAGATCCCTGAGAGGTAGGATTATTTCTTTCTCCTTATATTAATATACTAACATACTGCGGTTTATAGACCATCCTATGTGCTCTTTCTATTTTCTAATTTTTTTAAGACGAGGTCTTGCTATGTAGTTTAGGCTGGCCTTGAACTATGTAGCCCAGGCTAGCCTTGAACTCACAGAGATCCTCCTGCTTCAGCCTTTCAAGTGCTGGGATTATGGGCATGTGCCACCACACCTGGCTTATGCTCCTTCTTTCAACATCAAGATCCACTGCACGGTAACTAAGGAAATCAGGACCAAATTTAGCAAAAAGGGCTTGATAATGCAAGAAAATAGTTCAAAATGGTTGATATTACATGTGATTTCAAAATAATCATCTAACAAGCTTCACATTCCATTATAAGCCAATTTGTAGAGCTCAGAGATTCAAGGTTTAGAGAAAATGCCTCGACTTACTTCAGTCTAGTACAGTAGTTATTTTCTTTACAATACAAGAACAATGGAAGGAAATTATTATTCATCTGTCATTTTTCCTAATCAGTTTAAAGAACAAACTTGTAATGCTATTCTGTTTTTTAGAGGAGGAGGGGATTTGAGACAGGGTGTCTCACTACATAGTCCAGGCTGACTTTAAACTTGCAGCAATCTTTCTACCTCAGCCTCAAGTGCTAGAACTACAGCACCACAGCCAGATTATTCTGGGTGGATCTCTAACAACTATTTTTTTTTTATAACAACTATGTTTTTACTCTCTTGCTTATAATGATGTTGTTCTCAAAGTTCATTTCTAGATCATCTGAGTAATGTCAAAGGATTACCACTGCAGCTAAACATTTTTAAAATTTTGACTTTCTTGTTAATCTTCATTGAAGACCAACAAAGCACAAAGGAATTTACAGTACAGTTTTGTGAATGTTTATCTCACAAAGCTCAGCAAATTGTACTTTTCTTTTTCAGACAGACTCTTGCTATGCAGTTCAGGCTGGCTGTGAACTCACTATGTAGCCCAGGGTGGCCTGGATCTCAGAGATTGTGTGCCTCCACACCTGGCAGCACATACAAAATAAAAACAGACATTAATAGGGCCCGGGGGGCCGAGGATTTAGCTCCGTGGTTCCTCTGCCTGACTTGCAAGCACAAGGTCCTGAGTTCGATCTCTAGTACCAAAAAACAAAACAAAACAAAACAAGAAAACAGGGGCCAGGGTTGTAGCTCAGCTGCATAGCGCCTGCCTGGCAAGAGCAAGGCCCTGAGTTCGATTCCCAACACCAAAGAAAAACCAAAAAAACCCCCACCAAAACCAGACATTAACAACACTGGGTGTTATGTTTAAGCTTTGAAGACCTTTTTCTGTTAAAGTTTCTATGACAGAGTAAGATAGATTAACACGAAAAAAGAAAAGCGATCATTGTATGTTCTAGCTCTCCACAATTATCATGGAAACCAAGCATTAAGGACTGATTGACAAAGTAGCCAAAGCAATCTCAGCTGAACTGTAAAAGCTTGTCAAAATGTAATTTTTATACTTTTTTATAACTGCTGACTATCAATCAGCACATTCCCCAGGCTAATCACAGATTAAAGTTGGGCCACTCACTTGTGTGTTTGATATTTCTTATAAGGGAAATATATAGGTGTTAGTGCCCTATACAGACCATGAGAACACACTGCACTACAGCCCAAAATCAATGTTTGTGGAATGAATTAATGAGCAAAGCTGCTAAAAAGACGAGAAATACAGTCTCTTCAAATAGTGTTATAAACTGTATTTGCCTTATATTACAGTATTTTCTATAATTACCAACAAAATTGTAGACCTTATATTTATGGGATCACAAGCCCATGAAGTATACTAAATTAGAATGACATTACTCACAGAGAAACGTGAAATTCAGATGTTTGCATTACTTTCCCTAACATGATAAATAAGTGGAGGAGCCCAGAATAAAAATGTAACTTCTCTAATTCCTGGCTAATCCACTTTTTTTTTTGGTACCAGGGATCCAACTTAGGACCTTGCAAGGCAGGCGGCAGCACCACTGAGCTAAATCCCTAGCCCTAAACCAGTATTTTTAATATATACATTTAACAATTCCTCAAACAGAGCTTTAGCTTGGCCCATTTTATATCAGAGGAAATTACAAAATGAACACTGCTGCTATGCCCGAAGCCAAATGATACCTACCCCCACTGACCACTGATGACCATGTTCCCCCTGCGGGACTGGTCCTTGCCACTGGAGGAGTAGTTGCTTCACTTGGTGGGTTATGGGATACAAATTCTAGACCACTGGATATGGAGCCCCTCCCAGCAGAGACTCTGTGATTTCGAGGGTGCCGCTGGGCCTTTGGGGACATCCTTGGAGGCCCTAAGAGAGGAACAGTAAACATCACATAAATGCTACAATGCCCATCACTACTACTTTTCTGCCAAATATGCACATTCTCTTTCTCACTCACTCAACAGTTTCTCCTTGGTTAAAATAATGAAAGGGGGAAAAAATTCCACAACATACATATATTCAGCCACATGTAACTCAGAATCATTTTGTGGAGTTCTACAAGTTAATAAACTTTACATCCCTTTATTTTTAAAGAAAGAGAGGGATGAAGTTGGTGTTAAGAAATCAAACAGCAAGATATCATAACTCTTAAAAGAATTTAGCAGTCTGTTTAGTCTGCTTCCATTATTTGCAGGCATATAAAAATAAATATAAGTTATTAATGTATGTTATAGCTACACAATGGAAAAATTTTTACATTACCATGTACTTTTACCTTTTTGCCTCAAACTTTCTAAAATATATTACTTCATATTTTTCATATATACATATAGTTATATAGATACACAGATATACATTCCCCTCTTTTTTCTTTTGTGGTAGTGAGTGTAGAACTCAGGGCCCTGCCTATACTAAGCAAGTATTCTACCACTGAGCTACATCCCTAACTCTTTTTATTTTGAGACGGGGTCTTGCTAAGTTACCAGGGTGGCCTCAAACCTATAATTTCTTCCACCTTCAGCCTTCTGAGTAGGAAAAAAAAATTTTTATATTTTAATTTTTTATTTTACAGGGCTAGATATCAAATGCAAGGCCTTAGGCAAGTGCTCTACCACTGAACTATATTCCCAAGGAAAAAATATTTTTAGGCAAAAAGACTACTGATCCCTAAACTACTGAAATAAATGCATATACCTTCTTAAATTTTTCTAAATGTTAGTTTATCTATCTGCCATGATCATCAGCTTTACAACTCATGGCTTAAAAGCATCCTCACCTATAAGTAGTTTTCTCTACTATGCCATAAACTGACAATTCTGTTAAAGGATGACTTTCAAGACTGGATCAATTGACACTCAGGGAGGAAATCTGAACGATATGATTGCCCAAATTCTACATCAGATTCTGTCACCCCATTAAGTGATTTCTCTCTCACGCTATATACTGTGCATCAGACCTAATGTCAAGTGAAAACACTGTACAGAACTGCTCTCACCACACAGACAGGGCCAAACACACAGAAAACATCCTTAGTGTCACAGCCTTTACCTATACTGTAAGATCAAATTCTTCAAGAACTCCAAATTAATGTATGTTCCCACAGTAAATTTAATCCCAGACATAATCTTTAAAAAAAATTGCTAAGGGGCCAGGGATTTAGCTCAGTGGTTCTGCCGCCTGCTGCGCAAGCCCAAGGACCCGAGTTCAATCCCCGGTGCAAAAAAACCCACAAAAAATGCTAAGGGTACAGAGTCTGTCAACTGGAACTATCCAGAATCCAAGAATAATGCAGCCATGAATTTCTGTATGAACTCCATTAGCACACCTTATATCTTAGCGTCACAAAGATGCTCTCAACTCATGAATGAATGTACTTCATCTAACACATTCTTATAATATACACATCATGTAGTACAACAATGGACTATAATAAATATTTCAACAGGACTCTGCATTTGGTGGCCAGTATTAAGAGAAACTTTTTTTTTTTTGGTGCTGGAGATCAAACTCGGGACCTTGTGCTTGCGAGGCAGGCGCCAGAACCACTGAGCTAAATCCCTCGCCCAAGAGAAACTTTTGAGGAAAGAAGTCACCTTGAAAATCTGTGACAGACACTGTTCAGTGTTAAATGCTTTAGCCAGGGTCATGAGCTCCCTGCCTGGATGGCAACAATTTATTCAAAAGCAACCAGGGCTGGGGATTTAGCTCAGTGGTTCCACCGCCTGCCTCAAAAGCAACCAAAGAAACTTTACATAGGCTGTTCCAATTACGATTTTAATGAACAAATCTGATTAAAATTTTAACACAAACATTCTGAATATGAAAAGGCCATTATCATTTAGAAGGCACGCAGTATTTTAAATTTATTCACTACATTTAGATTATTACCTTCTTATAACACATCCAAGTATTCTGATATATAGCAATGATGGGTTTAGTATCAAATAATGAATAAGAATTACATAATTTTATTCTTGTTTTAGACAAGGGCACCAAAAAAGTCTAAAGATGCAAATTCATGTGTTTTTTTTTGCAGATAGGGTACTACTGTACTGCCCAAGGCTAGCTTCAAACCTGCAACCCTCCAGCCTCAGCCATACACCACCATGCCCAGCTTATACCCATTTTTCATCAACAATTTTATTTTAGAACAAAGACTTCTCTCAGATTAAATCAGCCTTTCATTACAATACTGTAAAGCTAATTTTTTTTTTTTTTTGGTACTGGGGATGGAACTCAGGTCCTTGCACTTGCGCACAGGTGGTAAAACCACTGAGCTAAATCCCCAGCCCTAATTTTTATTTCTGAGACAGGTTCTCACCACGTAGTTCAGGCTGGTCTTGAACTCACTATGTAGCCCAGGCTGGCCTTGAACTCTAGGAGAGCTTCCTGCCTCGGGTCTCCCAAGTGCTGGGATTATAGGCGTGTGCTACCACAGCTGATGCAAAGCTTATTTCTCAAAACTACTCCAATTTAGAATTCCTCAGACACTCTAAGAAACACAATCTGTACTGTAACGTGAAGGCAGACCTTCAAAGGCAGCTGGATGGAATGTCATGCTCAAACGAGAATCCTTAAAACACCATTCCTGCCTATGACCAACAGGAAGGTTCACTAGCATATTGGCCAAGGAGCTGTAAAATGACAAGTTCTACAGTCAGTCCAATACAGGGTGGATATGTTCACTATCCACCATTAACTGCTGCGTCTATTATCAGTTGGGAGGGAGAGGTCCTCAGCAGACCTTCCTGGGGCTGTACATGGGCATCATTACCAGGCAGAGAGAGTAATCCCCCTTTCTTACAATTCAGGATAATTCATAGCATCACACAGCATTTATCATATTTCTCTCTAATGAACAAAAGGTTAATAGAAATAGTTTTAACAAACTAAAGTTAAAACACAAATTATAGATTATTAAATAATGAAGAGGAAATTATTTTATAATTATAAATTCACATAGGAGTTGAACAAAGACAAACAAAAACATGAACAAATTGTGGTATTGTACCTTCTGAAGACATGCGTTTAGGCATAGTAGAGACAGGAGCTGGAGAACCATGAGCAGAGGGGTGAGACGGGGGCCTGGATGGCCGCGAGGGGGGCCTGGAGGGCGGCCGTGTAGGGGTGGCTGCCCGAGGTGGAAGAGAGTTGGGACCTGACTGGTAGCGAGAAGGTGGGCGAGAGGAAGGAGATGGGCAAGGCGATGGCCAGGGAACACCTGACAGAACAAATGATATGAAGGAAAGTATAAAAACTAAAGAAAAAAATGAGGGAAAAAAGTAAACAGAAAAAAAGTAAAATGACAAAAATGATTTCTTGTACATTTTAACCCTTTGAGGACAGTCATTTGATTTGTGATAAGTTTTAGCATAACTCAACTGACATAATGCACATTTTACTTTAACTTCCTTAAAATTAAGTCTGTTTAAATGAATGAATACACGTTCCCAAAGGGTTAATCAGGAGCTACACATACTACTGAAGAAGACAGTTAAGACTTTGCCTAGAAATCCTGCTTCTGTAACTGTTTCTCAGTAAACAACTGTTACAAGGAATATAACATTATATACTAGATGATTCCATACAATAAAACACAGTGATTTCCAGTCAAGATTATTTACTGTATTAGTTTTAGCTCTAAAACATAATGAAAATAAGCAGCAGATAATATGACTAATTTTAAAAGCTGGTTTCTTACAATCATATATGATTTTTCATCAGGTTTTTATCCAAACATAAGGTTCACTTTGAAATCTCATTAAACAAGTTCTACTCAACTAGAAATAAAACATTATTTCCATTTTTGAGGGTCACAGAAGTAAAAGAGGCTAATATTCTTCTGTTTCAAGACAAATCTCTTAATCTCACTGAACTAGAAAAGGGGGAACTATCTAAATAATTTATGCAACAGCAGTAGTCTTATATAACAGACTACTTAATAAACAATGCAACTGCAAAGCAGTCACCACCAAATAAAACTGATACTGATGGGTATGCACAGGTCAAATGAGGCTGTCATCTATTAACACAGATCACTTACCCGAACCTTGGGAAACAGTCCAGTTCTCCTCTCCACAGGGCTTCACACACTTGAGTATCACACGTTTCCCAGCCCCCTTCAGGTTTTTACTTTGAAAATTCTGTTTATGAACAACTAAAAATCTTTACTCAGTGAGTAAAGAAATTTCACCCCTAATATTAAGTACAGAAAATACTCAAGAGTGTTCATTTGGAGAGGAATTCTGGAGAAAAGACACTCAATAAAAATGAATGAAACTGGAAACTTAGTGTTCTCTATTTTATCTTTCCAATTTTCTGAATTTTTCCATACCACTCACAATTCTGTCCTTCAGTATCCTAGAATTTCATAAACCATGAGCAGTAGTATTTGACTTAGATTTAGAGGCATAGGAGAAAATATCTTCCCACTAAAGACTCGAGTTTCTTTTATGTAAATTGCTCAACTGTAACAAGACAGAGAGTTGTTTGTTGCATTTTGGAGCACATTTCTCACATCACTTTCTTCACATGACTGCAGGTCATGTCTTATATCACAAATTATCTCAACCCACGCCCCCTTTTGGAGACAGGGTCATGCTATGTAGTCCAAGCTGGCCTCAAATTTGTGGCCATCCTCCTGCCTCAGCCTCCTGAGTGCTGGGAGTACATGCCCAGCTTCAAATCCTTTCTTGAAGTAAGCAGAATGTAAATACATAAACAGTAATGAAAACAAATACTAACTACTGTTTCACATATATTAGGATTTTACATATAAACTAGGTCTAAATTATTTTACTGTCCAGGGTTTTGAAACTTGAGAACCTACCCAAAGTTTCCAATTTCTTTATATGTGGAATGTTTTTTTTGGCTATGTCAATGTCTGAGATAAATTTTGCGCCTTATCTTTAAAAAATATTTTGTCATGCTGAATATTTATATGCCAGTGACTTCCACAAGATTTTTCTAATTTGTTATCCACAAATCTTGTATAATTTTGAAGTGTAAACGCCACAGAAATCATTAGTGGTGTGCACATTCCTGTCAATTATGTAAAAAGTCTTTTAAGTAGTTAGAAAACTATGTATCTGATCAATGACACTGACAAATTTGGTCAAAATACTTGCCTCCATTAACTACTCTTTGGTCTGAACCAGAATTCGGGTTGAAATCTGAAGTGTGAGAAGTGGATCTTGATGGCATGGAGCCGGATCCAGGCTGGCCCATACGCGGTGAATTCTGTCTCCCACTTCCCCAGGATATGACTTCTCTATTTCTTTGTCCAGGAGGAATATATTTATTTTCCCTGAAAATGAGAGATCTTCTAAATCATTTTTTCCTAAAAGGCACCAAGCTAATGAAACATATCTAAAAGTAATTTAGGCAGATGGGAATGTCTGTTATAAAAAGATTCAACACTAAACCAACTGCTTCACTCCTCTACTCTTCCATCTTACCACTGAGTTCCAGCCTCTGACTTTTCCCTTCCCCCAGATTCCTCTCCTAAGCACAAAATTTAAGACACATGTCAATTCAAATCACCAGGCTCTAAGCTGTGAATGTCTTGAAGACAGGATGCATATCCTGGTCTACCAGGTTTCTGTAGCAAGTATTCCTCAATGCAATGATTATGCATAAATGAAAAACTCACAAGCCCCATAAATACAATAAATTATACAAATGGACTCACCCTTTATCCCCTCTTCCTTCTTCTATATCCTAATCTCTATTATCAGTACTATCATCAATGTAGTTATTACATATACCTCAGGGGCAGCCCTGAATTTTCTAACCTTTTTATCACTGGCCTTAATCTAGCTGGTTATTAAATTCTCACAGCTGAACTACTGCAATACACAACGGGACTCCCTGCCTCACTGCTCCTCGATAGCCCAGAGTCTGTTCCCCCCACCTCCCGTCCAGAGTGCTCTTTAGCAGGAAACACAAAGTCTTTCCACTACCTCAGTTCTTATCACCATGTACCACTACACCCACAACACAGGCCCTGGGTTCTAGACACAGGGCACTAGCCTCTTCCTAATCTGTGGATTCTCTCACAACGCATGTCTCCACACTGTCTCTTCACTAGGAGAGAAATTCTTCCATATCCCTCTGAGTGGAAGGTAGATTCCATTACCCTATCATAGCATGTCACCTCCTCAGTGAGGCGTTCTCAACCACACAAGTGATGCTAATTCCTCCTCACTCTGCCTGTTCCTAGTACTTTGAATACATCTTCAATCTAGAATCACACTATCCTGACACTATGTTGCACATGTCCCCCTCTGGTAATTATTCTTTAACAACTCTCCAGGACTTTGGCTTGCCCTTCATGTATTCTCAGCATTTTGGCTCCACAGAGCTGCGTCAAAATATATCTTCCAAGATTACCATAATCTTTAACAGAACCTGAAACCAATTCCATTTGCATTCTCTACCTAAGCTTCATTAAAGAGAAATAAAACAATAATAATAACAACACACTTTCTCACACAGACCTTGAGTTGTGTATCCAAAATACTGCATCATGATTTCCTTTAAATACCTAGTGTTTATGTTGTGCCCCTCACGTTCACTGGAATTTCTCTGAACTGCTGTATATTTTTCTTCCTCGCTCCTATCATCATTTTCCAGGGCCACTCGAGCTTTGTATTGAGCACTTGATTCAATTTCTTCTGCTAACTGGTTTGCCCTTGCTTCTCGTTTTAAAAATTCTTCTGAGTTATCCCTCTCTAAGGGTACCCTAAAACATGAGGAAAAGAAAATTGATTACTAAAGTTATACTTTATGTACCTATCACAATCAACTATTAAGAAAGTTTAGGGTGTGGAATACAGGAAAAACTGTCAGTTACTGTGCTCAGTTTATTTATAAATCAAAATCTGAATTTTTCAGTTTTCTTTTACATGGAAGAACATTTAGTACTTCAAACACACATTAAACAGTTCACCATAACCCCTGCAAAGTTAATTTTTTGCAATTTAAAAACAAAATTTCTTTCGAGCACAAAAATGAGGTTCAGTCTCAATGGGCATTTACCACCCTAAATAGGAGCAGAATAATTCTTTTTTTTGGTACCGGGGATCGAACTCAGGTCCCTGCGCTTGCACAGCAGGCGGCAAAACCACTGAGCTAAATCCCCGGCCCTATAATTGTATAACTTAAAAACCTAGCAGAAACGTTTATTCAACATCATAAGGTGATGAAAATTAAAGACAAATGAACTAAAATAAAAACAAACTTTTTAAACTTACGTATATGAAGATAAACTGCTATCATATGTAGATACTACACCATAATTTTCTTCATTATATCGAAACATATCATTGGGATCCCATCCATTAGACTAGAAGAAAAATGAAGCTTATTTTTCAAAATGACAAAGTATTTGTCTTCTTCAGTTACAATCAATATTTACAACAGCAATAACTAACAAACTATACTAGTTAAATCTAACAAATTAAAAAATGATCAGAAATGTCCTTTAAAAATGATTTAAGGAATATTTTTCTTCTCCGTATCAGTCCCTCAAGTTAGTAAGTAACTAACAACACAATTATACTTGAGGTTACTAGAAAAGGTTACATCTTAGTTACTGCATAAATTCTGAGCCTTGGCACAAGGGTTCTCTTCCCTTACCCTCAGCAGAGACAGCTCTATGTTACCTGGACCATTCTTGAGATCACCGCCATCAAGTCTATGAAAGGGAGGAGGTGACTTCTAACAGCCAAGAACATTCCCAACATTTAGGGGAAAGAAGGGAGAAACCAAAGCTTCCCCACTGAATCATTACTTCAAAGTGAGACCATGGTATCAGACCCCAGTCATTTTCCCCTTCCTCCTAGGAATTCTGGAAGAATGGGCAGCATGAAGCAATGGACCAAGTTACAAGGGCCAGATTTTAGAACTGGTTTTGCCATTAGCAGTTGTGGGGCCTCAGTAACTCTGGATGTCAGCACCCTGACTTATAATCACTGCAAATAACTTTTAGTTTCTATAAGGGAACTACAGGAAACTCCCACTCTCAAAAGTTAAGCTACATTCTTTTTATTTTTTCTCTTATGATTCTGGGGATTGAACCCAGGGCCTCTGCACTGAGCTATATTTGCAGCCCTTTTTTTTTTTTTGGTACCAGGGATCGAACTCGGGTCCTTGCACTTGCGAGGCAGGCAGCAGAACCACTGAGCTAAACCCCCAGCCCTGCAGCCCTTTTTTTAAAATTAAAATTTTTTTTTCTTTTTGCGGTACTGGGAATCAAAATCAGGATCTTGCATTTGCGAGGCAAGCGCAGCACAACTGAGCTAAATTCCCGGCCCTAAGAATGAAATTTTTTAGAAGAAATGTTAAGGCAAGATCTTGTTAAGGCATTAAGTTGCCCAGTTTGGGCTAGAACTTGTGATCTTGCCCCTTTGGCCTCCAGGAGTGCTAGGATTACAGGCATGTGTCACCATACTCAGCAGGTTGCACTCTTTAATCTGTAACAATCAACTAATTGGGGCAAATAATAAATAATCCTCAAGGGCAAATATTAATCCCTGGTTAATCATTTATCTATTATTTCACCTCTTCTTTCAAAGCCAGACTAGATGGGTGGTGAGAAGGACACAGTCCCTAACTATATCATGCAAGCAATGCAAGCAATGGCAACACACAAGCTTTCATTAGAGTTCATTAACCCTGGGTCCTCCTGTGTTGTTCTGATAAGACTTGCCATTATAATTTTATCACTATAGTTAATCCTTTCACCTAACACATGCAGGCAGGAAATCACCAATGGAGACTAAATTTATTTAAGCAATGTATGCTCTATGTAAAAAATCCACATCAGGGCCAGGGATTTAGCTCAGTGGTTCCGGCACCTGCCTCACAAGCAACCAAGGTCTCGAGTTCAATCCCCAGTACCTAAATAAATAAATAAATAAATAAATAAATAAATAAATAAATAAATAAAATCTACATCAGATAAAAAGATATCTAGTACAAAGTAAAGATATTCCAATCCCAGTGTGCATACACAGCTGTTATCAACAGTTTCCTGGGTATAATTCCAGATTATGTAGTCCAGGGTGGCCTTGAACTTGCAAATCCTCCTGCTTCAGCCTCCCAAGTGCTAGTATATTACAAGCAGCATCATGGTGCCTCACTCTTCCTTTTTAAAAATTCAAATCAGACGTATTGTTCTGTAACTTGTTTTTTTCTTCTAATAAATCTTCAATTATCATTTCATATTGGAACACCATTCTTTTGGTAGATATACAGAATTTCTATTGAATAACAGCACCATAAATCTATTTAGTTCATGCTCTACTGTGGGACACCTAACTAGTGAAACAATGCTGCAAAAACATCCTCATATATAATTATTTGCAGGAATTAAGACATGTTGGGGTAAAAAATAAATTCTTAGACGTAAAATTGCTGGAACAGGGCCAGGGATTTAGCTCAGAGGTTCCGCCACCTGCCTCGCAAGTGCAAGGACCCAAGGTCGATCCCCAGTACCAAAAAAAAAAAAAAATTGCTGGAACACATTCTAGGTGGATTTAAATTTTTTATAAACACTGCTCAATTCATCCCAGAAAGTCTCAAATTTTCTACACTTTACTAATAAAGTAAAAGAAGGCTCCGATTCCTCATCTTCTGCCCAGATAAATGATGTGATGCACCCTTGAGAACAATTACATTAGTTTCCACATGATTTGGGGGGCCGGGGGGGCAGTTTGAGACAGGGTATCGATATGCAGTCCAGACTGGCCTTGAACATACAGCAACCCTTCTGCTTCAGCCTCCCGAGTGCTGGGATTACAAGCATGCACCAACACACCCAGCCCACATGATTCTTTAAAATTTACACTTGGGCCAGGGATTTAAGCTCAGTGGCGCCCAAGCGCAAGGTCCCGAGTTCAATCCCTGGTACCAAAAAAAAAAAATTTACACTTGATTTTAGCCAAAAGGCTGAGGAACAATGATTCTTTAAAAATTGAAAATTCAGGTTTCGCTGCCTGCTGCACAAGTGCAAGGACCCAGGTTCGATCCCCTGTACCAAAAAAAAAAAATTTTGAAAATTCAAAACGATATGCTGCCTATGAATTTCTCATTGTATAACTAGAGGTAAATTCTGAGAAAGAGAAGGTACAAATTACTAAATTATTCTTTAAACACTGAAGACAGATTTCTCTGTTCTCAGTGGAAGGCTCTTCATTCAATTCAGATTTTGTGACCTAAATACACTTTTTTGGCAAGATTTTACATCTCTATGCTCTCTATACTAAAGGTAGGCTACCAAGCATTCGATTTGTAGATGATGTGTCAGGGGAAAAGCAAGTAACAAGACATTTTTAAAAATATGGGGGTTTTTTTTGGTACCGGTGATCAAACTCGGGATCTTGTGCTTGCAAGGCAGGTGCTGGAACCACTGAGCTAAATCCCCAGCCCCTAAAAAATGTTTTTATAGAAATGATTCCAATTTAAGGCCAAAAAATTACAAAATGATTTAATCCTAATGCAACCAAATTACGTATCTTCTCTTCCTCAGACAGGAAGCCTAAAATGTACATGTCCACACACTCTCTAGGTAAAGTCAAGGGACAAAACCCCACTCTCCTTAGGGTATCTCCAAGGCATTCCAAGCTAAACACACTGGCCATTCTCAGGGTTTCTGTTTAAATCTGTCAACTGCTTATTGTCATTTAACCACAAGCAAATAGTTTATGAGCACAAGAACAGATCACATCCCTGCTTAGCCCTCACAAATAAAATAAGACAGAACAATTTTATTTGCTGAGAAAAAGGCTCCATTTGCACAAATGCAAAAATAGTCACTAAAACAACAAACACAAATTAGATTAAAACCAAATGAGAGGACATCATATGTCAACCAGAGACTGCTAACCACTCAAAGATGACACTTACAACATCATTTTCCAAAGCCTCTAGTTCTTCACTGGCTGTGAGTTCCCCGGCATCCCAGGGCTCCAGGTCCTTCTCTTTGTGTTCACCGTTCACTTTAGCACTGATAGCAGAGTCAGTAAAAGCATCTGCAAAAATGATTTTGATTGAAAAATCATACAACCAAATATTAATCATCAACAAAGACAAATGTTTTAAAAAATTACAGAAAATGAATTTCTGATATGCTTTCAAACGTTTTGGTAAATGGCATCATAGATGATTATCAGTAAGTGTTTTTTCTCATAATTTTTTTTTTTTGAGGCAAGGTCTTGGCTTTGTAGTGCAGGCTTGCCATGAGCTCACTACGCAGCCCAGGCTGGCCTCGAACTCACAGTGATCCTCCTGCCTCGGCCTCCTGAGTGCTGGGATCACCATGCCCGGCTTTTTCTCATAATTGTAACTCATGACATATACTTAATATACTCACATAATTCATCACATTAAAGATAAATGTTTGTGTTTCAGAAGTGACCCAGAAAATTTCTACTAATTAGATATAACTTCACAGCACATACACTCAAATATATGCGGATGTTTAACTTTCTAAATCCAGGGGGTCAGTATCTAAATATACTGTTGCCAACAGTAAATGACACCATTCTGAGTAACCCATTCCTTCACAGAAAGGAGTTCAGGCCTTACAGTGTTACCTATCTCCAGAAGGTTCAGGTGGCAGACCTACCTAGACTTCCTTTAACACATTCTCACTTATTTGTGTTGTCTCCGACTCTACTGATATTGTGAGAGCAATGTGGCATCTGTATGTCCCACTGAGCATACTGCTCTCTGGCAAAGGATACTCTCTCTAGTTGGGGGTTAGGACCCAGTTAAACAGCTAAATACCACAAGGCATTGCTTTGCAGCTACAGGGTTACTTTTTTTTTTTTTTTTTGGTACCAGGGATCAAACTCAGGTCCTTGTGCTTGTGAGGCATGTGGCGGAACCACTGAGCTAAATCCCTGGCCCTACAGGGTTACATTTAAATACCTAGACCCACAGTTGGAACCTACTGCTGACTACGAAGAAATACTTCTATTCTGGCTCTGCTGCAGAGCACTAAAGGCTCCCAGCCGCCACCGTGCCCTGCCACTTGCAAGTTGCCACAAAGAGGAAAAAAGGAAGACTCAGTCTAAATGAAACACACAATTCTCCTTCAAAAGAACCAACTCTAGAGAGATTTTTTTTAAAAAAAAACAACTTGGCATTGTTTCTGTAACTGTCATTGCCTTCCTAATTGTCAAGGTGATATCAAAGAAAAGAAATTTGATCAGGCAAGCTGGGCTTGGTGGTACACACATGTAATCACAGCATTCTGGGAGGCTGAGGCAGGAGAATCACAAATTTGAACCACACCTGGGCAACTCAATAACTCAGTGAGACCTTGTCTCAAACTAAAAAAAAATTTAAAAGGCTAGTGATGCAGTCCAGTGCAAAAGCCCTGGGTTCAATCCCCAGTACTGCCAAAAAAAGAAAAAATAAAAAAGAAAGGAGAGGAAGAGAAGATGAAAGAAAAGAAGGGAGGAAAGGAGGGTGGGAGACAAGGAGGGAGGAATGGAAGCAGAGGGAAATAAATAAATCTGAGCAGGTGAATTCTGGCAGAGCATTGCAGCCTAGCTAACTCTAACTGCCTCTCATCCCAAATGGGGTGGGTGAGCATGGATATACATGGATGCATCTTAGAGAACAAAAATCATTGGGCTGGGGATTTAGCTCAGTGGTTCTGCCGCCTGCCTCGAAAGCGCAAGGTCCTGAGTTCGATTCCCAGTACCAAAAAAAAAACAACCCAAAAAATCAGCTGTCAGCTCCACCAGCAGCCGTACTCTCACTGCTAGTAATTATAAAAGCCAAGAGCAGAGAGAGGGAGTTCTCCAGAGCAGCCAGCCTTAGCAGGGGTGGGATAGAGCGTACACTAGAAGATAAGCCCACTTTGGAAAAGCTACGAGATTTTAAGAGACTGATACTGTCTTCCCAACACTCCATCTTCAACTGGAAGCCATGTATAACCCTAAAGATTTAGCCTTACTTGACACTAGCCTCTGTCAGGCCATAGTTATGTGAGTTCTTGGTAAAAATTAAGGTATCCATGTGTATTTTTCAAGAATATGAAATGTTCTAAGAAAACATCAAATAATAACTTACATTAGGGTTATGAAATTCCTTTTTTTTTTCACACAACTAGAAAAAAGAAAATTAAAGTACAGGAATTTGAAACCAGTTCTGTGAACTGTGAGAAGCAACAGAATTATTAATTTATATATAAAATCCTGCTAAAGTTTTGATCATACTAGTTCCAGAAAACTACATACTTAAATGAATAAAACATTTTGACAAAAATTTAGCATAAAAAGATAAAAACTCTTTTTATTCAAGAAATTAAAGGGCCAGGGATGTAGCTCAGCTGCACAGCACCTGCCTGGCAAGCGTGAGGTCCTGAGTTCAATCACTGGTACTCCCCCCAAATTAAAAGAAATTAAAGCTCGAAACAGTTAGGAAGTTTTACAGAACCAAAATGGTCTTTTTCTCATGGGAGGACAGTGTGTATAAAAACATACACAGTGTATGTGTGTACATAAGAAAATATTCAGAAAAGGGCCAAGGATTTAGCTCAGTGGTTTTGCCGCCTGCTGTGCAAGCACAAGGACCCGAGTTTGATCCCCGGTACCAAAAAAAAAAAAGCAAAAACAAGAAGAAAATATTCAGAAAAGACTGGGGACTGAGCCCAACTATTCTCAAATCAAACAATACAGAAGTACAAAATAAAATAAATAGCTTAACTATATGATTCTAAACAGCAAAAAGGAATCCCCAAATGAGTCAATGTGACAAAGCAAAGTAAATGTCTAAAACTTCACTGAATCAAGGTTTATTCAGCTGACAACAACTTTGGTTGTACTGAGAGACTATTATTAAGTGACCTGGTTTTTTCAACACTACACCTTTTATCTTAAATCTTCTGTTTACAGTATCAGTCTTATAAAGGAATTAACTATTTACATGTCTTAACTTACCAGTATGGTTTTCTTTCAAGGCAGAAATAAGGGAAAATGCAAAAATATGATCCTATAAGTAATAATATTCCTTGATTTTTAAAATTCCTCCAAAAATAGCTCCCTTTTTAAAGATAAGTAGAAGGTTCAGGGAAAGATGTGCAAGAATGGAACATCAGCACAAAATGAGGTGACACTATCAGGTTGCTGAAAAAAATCTGGCCATAAAAGTACTGTATCTTATTTTGGGACCTCAATAGGATCATGAGCTAGAAGGAAGCAAAATCTGGATATTCCATTAATACTCTCACCGGTATCCACCACTGTAAATTCTGATTTATTTTACAATCTGAAATTATAGACATTTTATTAACAGCTACATTCAGACTTTTTTTTTTTTGGTACGGGGGATCGAACCCAGGACCCTGCGCTTGCGAGGCAGGCGGTGGAACCACTGAGCTAAATCCCTGGCCCCAGATTTTTTTTTTAAAGCCACTGTTGGTATTAAATAGCACAATGCTGTAACGAGGATTCCTGCAAAATTCAGAAACTGGCTAATGTATTTTAATCATAATTGTGGGAATTTGCACATAGGCTAATATTCATGGTAAAAGTCACAGTATATTAATTTGCCATTATCCTCTATGGTGAGAAACAAAAGCATTGCAAGAGAAAGACACAAGAATACAAAGTGAATGTTAGAAAACTATTACCTGTTTCTGAAGAAATTACAGGTATTTAAAAAAAGAAAAACAATAAAAATTATAAGATGAGATAGAGTAGTTTTTTCCTGTGCTTTACTCTGTGCCTTACAAACATCCACTTTACAAAAGCCTCCCTACTAGAGGAGGAAAAAAAAAAAGGCACCTTCTCAACACTTCCAATCCCTGTGATTCTGGGCAGAACCTAGTTATTTTGGGCCTCTGCTGCCACCTGGTGGTGGTCAGAAAGAAACACCTGATTCAAGGGTATCTTTGGGTCAGACTCAGGAAACAGGGTTAAGGATTCTGTTACCCTCATCTTTCCTTTTACCTCTTAAATCAATTATGCCTATGGAAAATTTAAATAATATAGGAAACTTTACAGGGACAGAACACTGGTCAAATAAATAAAATGTGTTATGTTATGAATAAATTTATAAAAACTACTAAATGACATGAAACGGAAGGAAATAATAATCATTAACATCAGACATGCCAAGGATTTAGCTCAGTGGTTCCGCCACCTGCCTTGCAAGCACAAGGTCCCGAGTTCAATCCCTGGTACCAAAAAACCAAAACAAAAAAAAATCAGATTTAAGTTCAGAAATACTCAAATGACATTCCAGAAAAGCCTTCACCAAAAACATTCCACTATTCATCTAATTAAATTAAATGTGAGGTTTTTTTGGTACCGGGGATCAAACTCGGGACCTTGCACTTGCAAAGCAGGCAGCGAAACCACTGAGCTAAATCCCTGGCCCAAATGTGTTTTTTCTTGAAATTCTAGACAAATAAAACATTTCAATTTTACTGTCTTTATCAGTTATTACTGCTGTGGCCGCTTTCAAAAACTGCTAAGAACATTTTCTCACCATATATCATCAGTTATATGTAGAGTATCAATTGCAGTGGGTGCCAACCTGCCCGCAAGCACAAGGAGCCGAGTTCGATCCCCAGTACCAAAAAAAAAAAAAAAAGAAGCCACCTGTTGGCTGGGCATGGTGGTGTACGCCTATAATCCCAGCACCTGGGAGACTGAGGCTGGAGGATCACCACCAGTTCAAGGGCAGCCCGGACTACATAGTGAATTCAAGGCCGGCATGAACTACATAGTGAGGCTCTGTCTCCAAAATTAATTAAACAACAGGTTTTTTTACATAACCATAAAACTCAAGTCTTTAAGGTGGCACCCATAAAAGTCAGTCCAACAGTCTGTCCTTCAGCTGAAAACTTTTCAGCAAAGAATAAGTGCGTAAGAGCTAAAATATCAAAACAAAACAGGTCATCCTGAGTTCATAGGATGGGAAACCAGATTCTCTCTGCAGCACATGTGCCCCGAAACTGGCAATAGACTTCCCTGATTGTAATTTTTTGTTTCAGAAGATGAAATTCTTTAAA